GTGACAGTACAAGGCAGTATGATTCAGTCCTGTGTGACGAAATTGATACTTTTACAAAAAAATTCTTAGTTGATGCCATGGACAGTAGAAAGAGGTATACAGATAATATTTAATATTTTTCCAGTGTACTTCTTATATTTTAGTTTTCTTATTTTTTTTTTTGTTGCTACTTTTAGATGTCTTTTGTTGTTGTTAAATTTTGTTATCTTAGTTCATGTAACTTAATTTCTTTTTGTCTATCAAAAGTTTTTTTTTTTTATCCATAAGTCTTTGAGTGAAATGTTTTTCTTATTTGGTGCAGCTCCTAGTTTACATAATGAGCCCCTGTTACAAAAGGGAAGCAATAAATAAATAAATAAATAAATAGTACACGATATTCCTTAATTGAAGCTCCCACATTATAACGTTACCATACTCACATATGATTGTTTGCACGTCATCAACATTTTTGCCTACCGAAATAATAGTCTATATCTTTCATGTTTCTAATGTTCCATTCATAAATACGTGCGCAATAATTAAATAATTTCATCCAAAATAGTATGATGTTTAAATATATTGAAAGATTACCTTGAAAGACAACATATATATAAATATATATATATATATAATGTATTGTTGATCCCAATAATTAGTTTTGACTGGAAGAGTGCCAGCTTACACAAAATTTCCAAGCCATTCTTGTTTTCATGCATGCCAGCATGCAGGCAAGAACTTGTATTAATAATTTTCGGTCAAATCCCATTCTATAATGTTCAGGGCTTTAGTATAATCCTAATCAGTCCTGTATTTTGTTTTTGCCTGAGTTCAATGAGATATAAATATGTATTTTTGTGATTGTATACAGTGACTACTTATTTCTGTTAACTTTTCTCAATGTCAATTCTGAGATAATTGTACTGTTCTGTTATTTGGAACATGTGAATTTGGTGATGTCAAGTTATCCACACAGTACCGGTGCATAGCTGTTATATGCGTTAAGTATACTTAAGTGATACATGCTACCGGCTAATTATTGTAATTTATTTGCATTAAAGCTATATGTCAATTGTCCGTAATCTTTCAAGGTAATATGTCAATGTTGTACATAAATCTGCCAGTATAAAGTTAATAGTGGTGTTCACGTTAGAGATCTCGGCACGTGCCGAGACTCTGAACCGGAGTCGGCACGTGTCGAAAAAAATGGATCACGGTCCCGATAGATGTTTGGGACTGAAACTCCGCACCTGCCGAGATTTGCTGTGTGAACGATCGGCACGAGTCGAAATCACGCCCTCCGTGGTAAATTTAAGAGAACATATGCTGATTTATACTAGTATGACTTGACGATGAAGGGAAATGCAGATATATATGGTTGGATGCTGTTGTAATGAGTGAAATCGTCTTCAGCGAGGCGTATTTATGTGCTGATGCAACCGGTATTGCAATGCTATATTGACGGAAACAAGTAATTGGTTTTCGAATCTTCTTTGCCGTTCATGTGCACGATGACTCATAATAAATACCATAACAACAAATTGATATAATTTCAGTATAGCAATGATTATTACCATCCTATGCGTATTGTTTCCCATGTTTGGGTCAAATAACATATCTACGAATGAGGGCGTGATTTCAGCACGAGCCGAGTCAGTACCAAGTGGGTTCCGACTAACGTGAACGTAACTGCTGTAATCCCTCTGCAAACACAAAGGATTAAACATTTTGGTACGTACCGATATCAAGTAACGTGAACGTGGCACATTTGTATCTAGAGTAATGTCAAGGAATCTGGTGATTTATTTGTTTACTTGTGTTTTATATATATCAATTAACATCTGATCGTAGAAAATTACTATAATATAACATATATTGATTATATTGATGAAATGTATTAATTGTTGTCCTGAGTATGTTAAAAAAATGGTCCCATATACACCAAACATTATAGTCTTACATACGTTTACTATCTATTTTCAGGAATGGGAAAATATAGGTCTCCCATTGTCAACTACGAGCAATGAAGCTGCTAAAATGTATGATGCAATAGTCACACAGGTATATATTTTTATTAACATATCTTGTTTGAAATCAAAATTAAAGCTTGTTGATTTCGGATACGACCTTCAACCTCTTACCCAATCACATAAGACCAGTTACAGATGCTTTTCTGAAGTTTATATTTTCGTGTATCTATTTCCGTTTCCAGTACATGAGTGGTTTCTCTGATGACAGTGTTGATGGGATAGGCGGTGCTATCAAGAAAATGACAGACGCCGACCCCAATTTTGGTGAGACATTTCTGTTATTAACTAAGATGACAAATGTTGATTGACAGATTTAGAATAGCGTGCTTAAAATGATACTTTGTTTTCATGTTGATCATTCAGTAGTGTAGGGGTTTCATTTCAAATTATGCAATATTCGAAAAGATATTAGCAAGTACGCAGGCTTGTATTTATACCAGGGGGTGCGTTGCACTACACACTAAAATAATCGCTACTATATTTTCCAATAGTTTATTTCCATCAGTAAGCTAGCATCGTTTTCAACCAATCAGCTTCTTGTCGCCAGCCAATCATAGCCCACCTCTGCTCACGGACTATAACGTCCATACCTCTTTTGTATTCTTTTTTGAGCATTGTTTTTCCTTCGCTCGTTATTTTACCGCCATAACCTTCTTCCGCTATTTTTTCCCTACCAGTCCGTGTGGGTAAAAGTGGGTTTCTTGCCTAATTTTGTATTTTATTCAATTCAATCTGTAATTTTATTAGTTTTGTAGTAGTTGTTAGCGTCTATGAGCTAGTGATACTGATTTTTCAATAAATTTGTCTCCGCCTTTCACCTGGTTTCTGCATGGAGTGTTTTTTTACAAATATGTATGTAATTACACAATACCCATAAATAATTTGATTCGTATAAGTTTAGAGTAAAGTCGATTTTTGTCTTTTTGTAGTTATGGGTCCAATTATATCAAATGGTCTCACATTGTTTAGCATGGCAACATCCACTTGGAACAACCCTGAACTAAAAAGCAATATAGAAAAAATGGTACAAAGCGCAGATAATGATACGCTCACATGGAGAGAAAAGTTACACATTAAAGCTATTAAGTTGTTTTCAGAAGGGTGAGTACAGATACAAATTATACACATATTACAGACATGTGATAAACACGCAACATGGTAATCAAGCCCACGACCACGGCAAATCGCCTCGCCACGGTTACCACAGCACAGTAACATTTCCAATAAAGACGGCGCTAAGTACTGAAAGTGTTTTCACAGTAATTAAATGGTCATGCGTAATGCAATTGTCTATTGTCGCATACACCCACTGTCACACGCAACGTAATATTACCGTAATTGGTATAGTACAGGTGTGATGGTTCAAATACCAAAATGGCAACAGTAACAGAAAGACTTCATGGCGGCGATGATGACTTGCGCTCTGGTTGTTACTGCTCCACTCGCATTCCACACTGGATCCGGGTCATCTGGTGGTCTTGC